AAGTTCTCTCCCATCTCACTTCATAATTTATGTAGTTCTCAATGGCCATTTCAGCACGCTGGAGGTACGTTGGGCTATTCCTAATCATCCTAATCACATGACATCATAATTTTAATTATGCTTAAGATGGGATGTTTGAATTAAAGAAATGAGGCCACGTGCCACCTCATCCAAGGGCTCCCATTTTACATGTATCACTATAAATACTTCCCTTGTGTAACATCAAAAGACTAATGCAAAAAAATCAATACAAAGAACTATACTTTACTCAACTCTCTGTCACTCACTTGCAATACACAAATCGTGTTTATACACATTTACATGCACATTTACAAACACCGGTTGGTAATTATTGTACGATCGGATCACGAACAACTCGTCGAATTTCGAATGTCACTGTCCCGCATCGTTGGGCTACTCCCACGTCCTTAGAATCGCTCATTTTAGACTGTCTACGTGTCTTAGCGTGTTGGACATTCGCCCACGTGTGCGCAATGGGACCGGCATCTGTTGGCAATACTTTTTGGGGTCAACAGTAACAATTGTCTCTGTTGGCTCAAATTTAGCATGATTCCTTGCTATTGTGACATCAACTATATGCTAAAGAAGAAGAAATCGATGCAGTGCTCACAAATATACGTCTCGATTGGCTCAGATTCGACGTTATTCCTTTCTATTGTGGCACTGATCGCGTGCGAGACAGAGACAGAGAGATAGAGAGCACAGATAGGGTTAAGTGGCAGAGAAATGTAAAAAGAAGAAGAAATCGATGCAGTACTCACAAATCTACGTCTCAAATATTGGCTCAGATTCGACGTTATTCTTTGCTACTGTGGCACCGATCGCATGCGAGATAGAGACAGAGAGATAGAGAGAGCGCAATTAGGGTTAAATGGCAGAGAAAAATGATGAGAGTCTGACTTTTGTTTTCATCTTTCCCCCAAACAGTGTCGTTTTGGCCCATAAGCAGTGCAAACCGGATAGGTGTGAAAAGGAGGTTTCCAAGATGAATAGTGATTTTGCATCCTCTCTTTTATAAGTAGTGATTATTTTAGTAAGGTTTAAAAGAATCATATTCTTTGTTCAATGAATATCCATAACTAGTAAAATAATTACCCCCAGTATAAGTTTATGATTTTACTTTGCTATATTACAAGTGAAGAGAGTAATTAACAACCATTTCTTTTGGCAATGTAATTGCATTAAATCATCGTGCTAACTGTAATCGTCCAGTTATGGATGATATCTAAATGGTAAATACTGCTTGAAGGTTGCAAGAAGACAAAATGATACATGTTTCATCATTTTTGTAATATTAAAGACATTGGCAAACAAAGTACAAATGACTTGATATATACAATAATTTTTATAATTGAAATCATGAGGAGTAACATTATTTTTTCTCGTTAACTCGAATTTTGTCTCATTAGATTTGCTTGACAAGATTCTAAATAAGTAATTATTACTTTAAAATTTTTTGCAATCCTTTTTTATTTTTATCCCATCGAAATTCTGGCAAACCCTACCTTCCATTATTTAATGGAAGCTTGTCAATATGTGATCTCTCAATTATATCTTGCCCTCCCCACTTTCGCATACGCTCCGTTATTCGGTCAACCTGCAATTTATAGTTTCTCAGCAAAATTATAAAAACGATATTTGATAAGATAAATTTTCAATCAAAATGAAACTAAGAATTGACAAATAATTGGTGAAAAGAATCTTAAAATCGAAAAACATGCCTTGGTATGAAAAGAGAGAGAAGATTCAAACATCATCAAGAAAGAAGCATTCACACACACTAGTGTTTTTTGCTAAGCTTAGAAATATTACTTCTAAGTAAATAAGTTATAAAATAAACTTCTTCTTTCCGAAGTAACTTTTTTTGCTTAAAATGTAAGAAAAAAGTAACTTGTAAACATGTTTGAAAAAAGTTTCTTAGAATCCGAAAACATTCTCAGCAAAGTAGAAACCCTAATACGAACCTCCATGTTCCAGTTGGTTTTGTAAAGTACCAGCAACAGCAGCAACGTCTGTAGAGCTACTCCGGCTATCATGCCACCCCAGAGTCCCTAAAACAAAATCATAAGAATTGTTGAAAAGGAAATTGAATATAAACGATGTTGAAATTTGAAATGATGCAATTTTGATATTGTCTAGATAAGATTCTTTTAGAGGTATAGTTAAGAAGAGAAAAAACAAAATTCTTATCAGACTCAAAGCAATATGATTCAACTCATTTTGGTGGTAGATATACCAACTTATAGCCGCCCGAGACATTATTATATATGGCAAAAGACGAACAAAATTCTAGAACTCTAATTCAAAATTTTCTAAACTAATTCCCTCATAAGAAATTACTAAACTATATGTCTTTCTATAAAATCAAAACGATTTACCTTATGTAGATGAGTGCATGATTTTCTTTTATTCAGGGATCGGGGCTTAGAAGAGAAGGAGTTCCGACTATTAGATTACAATATATGGCAGGCTGGATTCGGAGGAGGAATTATGCTTTCTAGAATAGGGCAAAAATTCTCTTTGTAATTGATATAGATCCATAATCAAATTTAGGATGCATATTAGTATAATATAGAGGTTCAAGTAAAATTTCGCTTACCATCACTCCAAAATTAGCCACATAGCCAAGAACATATCCGAGAGGTAGACCAAAAATGTAATAACAGCCCAAGTTGAT